TTTTTTTTTTTTTTTTTTTTTTTTTTTCAGTTTGGATCATTTTATAATGCAAACATGATAGGTAAGCACTGGGAGGACAAGTGGTGAATGTGGCACTGGGAACCAACATGTTTCCTAACACTGCCCTCATCTGACTAAAATCTGCTTAAACTGCGGAGTACTCCTTACCTCAGAATTAAATGACCTATGTCCCACGTATTTCTATTCCACAGGTATTGCAAAGTGAGTAGGAGAAGATGAGGAATTGGACATTAAGAATCGTGAAACATCAGAGATGGTAGAGTTAGGTAGAGGGACTAGTAATACTTTTTTTTTCTGAAGGTGAGGAGAATGTTCAAGGGGAATAAAGTTATGTGTAAGGTGGCTGTGTGGAGAAGGATCAGGTGAATTAAAAGGGAGACATGTTTAAGGGGATAGAAACATCTAAAAGGATGACTGTGAAGCAGTGTAGAGAAAAAGGAAGGCTATGACAAGAAACCTTAATGACTTCATGTTGAGCAAGTCTAGAACAGAGGAATTAAGTCATTACCCATAGTAAGGCTTCTCAAACAAGAGGGCTATTTGGCCTATCAGTACTGAAAGATTACAGATCTTAAGCAAAAGTAATCCCATACTTTATCTAGACAAAAAAATCAATGAAAGTCAATATAGTTTTATTGACCAGTGTAGTTACTTGCAGTCTGTTACTTTGGGATGTCAGTTCTCATTGTCTCTCATTTTGGACAGTGTTTCAGCACAGCTGGAAGAATTCATAGCTTTTCAACTTCAGAAGGTTTTCTTGGAAACAGGGAGGCAGCTGGCAATGCCACATCACAGTAGTCACTTGCCACAGAAACCTCCTAACTGCTGTCTTCTGTATCTGCACAAGCTGTCACATTTATTGTTGCACCAGGAGAAATTTTGCACAGCAGCAGTGGAGCTGGCTGTATCTCCCCATGCTAATGAAAGTTCTCAGGACTTGTTCACCTGCCAGCAAAAGGCTCATACTGGTCACTATAATAGAACAAAAAATTGCCATGCAGTAAAAGCCCCTCACTCAAGCTTGTGGCTCATCTGAAATGCAGCTGAAAGCATTCTCTTGTGCAGAGCCCAACCCCTAAATCTCCATCACATGGGAAAGTTCCCCACAGCTGCGACTTTTACAGGCTTCCCTGTTGCTTCACATGTCCTTTCCAACACTTGCTGAACCAGCATAAGCTGTTGTTTCAGATCACACACACACGGTTCTACAAAAGACAGAAAATCTCTTCAAACAATAAACTTTTCATAGAATCATAGAAACATAGAATGGCTTGCATCAGAAGAGACAGAAGAGAAAGGTCATCTGGTTCCAACCCGCCAGCTCAGGCTGCCCAGGGCCCCATCCAACCTGGCCTTGAGCCTCCAGGGATGGGGCACCACAGCTTCTCTGGGCAGCTGTGCCAGCGCCTCACCGCCCTCTGAGTAAAAAGTTACCCCCTAATATCCCACCTAAATCTCCCCTCTTTCAGTTTAAAGCCATTCCTGCTTGTCCTATCACTATAAGACCATGCTTATAAACTTCTAAACGCAGCAAAGCCACTGGTCTCCCTGGAGACTTCCCTTCTCCAGGCTGCTCAAGCCCAGCTTCCTCAGCCTGTCTCCACAGGAGAGCTGCTCCAGCCCTCTGAGCATCTTCGTGCTGTCCTATGGACTCACTCCAACATCTCCACATCCCTCCTACGCTGGGGACCCCAGGCACGGACGCAGTACTCCAGGTGGAGCCTCACGAGGGCAGAGCAAAGAGGAACTTCCGCTCCTCTCATCCCGCTGGCCACCCCTCTTTTGGTGCAGGTGCAGGTAACCCGCCCCTGTGAGCTATCTCGGCCACACCTGACACCTGGGCCGGGCAGCCGCAGCCCCTCCCTCCGCTCCGGGCCTTTCCCGAAGGGCCGCCCGCGCTCATCGGGATCTGGCGCAGTACGGCCGGTAGGGGGCGCCACCGTCCCGCCTGTAGAACGGGCGCAGAACGTGGCGTGCAGCCCAGCGCTCCGCCAGCGCTCTGGGCAGGGGGAGGGAGGTCGCGGCTCTCTTTCGCGACTGCCCTCTGCAGTAGAAGCCAACAGAGCCATGTGGATGTGGCACTGAGGGACGTGGTCAGTGGGCATGGGGAGGATGGGATGACACTTGGACTAGGTGATCTTAAAGGTCTTCTCCAACCTTAACGATTCTATATTTGAGAAGTTAAAAACAGCTGCAACAAGGACTGTGGGATTCCAGATGTTGCTTGCTTTACCTTTGTCATCAGATGTCTGGCATTCACATATTAGTATGTGGCTGCCTAACAAGGAATTGGAATATTGAAATCATACCTTCCCATCTACAAGTAAATACAGCACTGCAGTATTAATTTCTCCCCAGTTAGGAAGCTCCTGGATGGAAGTTCACCTCAGTCAAGTCTCACTTTGAGAGCTTAATTCTGATCTATCCACCTTTGTGTTTATTTGCTCTCATACTGTAGTACTGGAGTCATGCACTGCATTGCTATGGGACTGAAATAGTTCAGATTTTAAGGTAGTTTTTAAATCACAGCATCACAGAATGGTTTGGGTTGGAAGGGACTTCAAAGCCCACCCACCCCAACCCCTGCCATGGGGCAGGGCTGCCCCCCACCAGCTCAGGCTGCCCAGGGCCCCATCCAACCTGGCCTTGAGCACCTCCAGGGATGGGGCACCACAGCTTCTTTGGGCAGCTGTGCCAGCACCTCACCACCCTCTCAGCAAAAATTTTCCACCAACATCTAATCTAAATGTGGCATTTCAGTGGATCGTGTTAAATAAATACTTAAATAAAATTCCAAACTCATTAATGGCCACTCAGCTATGTCTAGACCAGTCTGTGGCCTTATTCTCTCCACCTAGTCCTGTTCGTCCACTTTCTCATCTGGGATATTGCTTCCTGAATTCTCAGCTGTGATCTGCAGGTCCTCTCTGGACAGCATGTCTCTGCAGTGGTTATTTATACGGTGTCCTCTGTAGTGGTGTCCTTTCCTAAAGGTTCATGGTGTAGTAATAAATAAATTCTTTGAAAGATGCCGTCAGAGGAGGTCATGGGAGTAAAGACATATGCAAAGAATTGATGACACTTCAGCACTTTGCCAGTAAAGACACGAGCTGTCCTGTAGGAACAGGAAAGCTATTGTTGGACTGAATCTGCCTGTCTTCCTCTGGTGCCAGTGCTCCACAAAGCGTGCATTTTGTGACTGTACTGCTATTCAGCTTTGCAAAAGGTACAGCCTGGGACCAATAGGAGAATGTAATTAAAGAGTGCTCAGCTTCCATCCCTCATATAAAGGTCGTGTATTTGTATTCCAGTTAAGTCAGCCTTCAGTGTTTGTAAAGTGTCTGATGTTCTCTTCTTGCTGTGCAAACAATAGCAAAACCAAAACAGAATTAAATTTCAATTAATCTGAGACATTCATAACAGGCAATAGAACAATAAACATGTTTTATTATTAACCTTCCTCCTTCATATGAGATTTTGACCTCTTTATACTAATCTGATTTTATTTGTCAAATTAACTGTGAAATTCAATATTAGTAGTCCCAGACAATGACTCAAGCTTCATCACCTCCTATTCCCTCTTTGTGGGAAAAAGAAGGTAATAATTAGTTTTAAAAATAATAATAACCTTGGAATGAAGTTTCATTTCTTATTTCTGAATGACAAGATCCTTTTTTTCTGTTTCTGTTTTTTAGCCTTTATAATGTATTTTCCTTTTCGATTTTTTTTTTCCCTGAGCATTTCTGAGGTCTGGAAACACACACACACACACATACATATATATATTTTAATGAAACCTGAGATTCCTGAATAATTACTTGCCTTTGGGAGCTGGGATTTTAATTAAAAAAGAAAAAAAAAAAAAAAAGAAAAAAAGAAAAAAAAAGAAAAAAAAAGAAGTGGGACAGTTGTGATAAAATCGTAAGAATTGGCAATGTATTTAAATCTCTACACCAGGTAGGGAAGCATTGTGAAGGAGAAGAAAACTGCCCGACTGTAAGGAGACTTTCTTGATGATGCAGGGCTATGGCCAGCTACGGTACCTGTAAGACATAGAGGGATGGTTACAGAGCAAGTGCAGGAAAGTGGTATCTTCAGCTGTGAAAACTACTTTGTATCATGTTCTTTACTATGATAAACCTCTCCTCCTAGCAGCTCCTTATCTGCTGATAATCTTGCCATATCGCAGTCCACATCTAAAGTGCATGCACATTTTGGGGCAAGGGTCGTGCTGGCTGGGACCCTGCCCAGTGCCAAGTAGATACAAGAGGCTGGGGGCTGACTGTTTATTGGGCTGTACTGTTTATACAGTAATTCTTGTCTTGCTCAGAACAAGGGACAGATCAAGGCTTAATCCCTTTCCCCGACAACCCTATTACCTAACACCAAGAGTGGTAGAAAAGTCCTAATCTTCAGAGGGAGAGGGACAGTAAAAGTTCCTCTATCAGAGATTGTTAAGATAGCCCAGAACAAAGCTTTAGAGAGTTATTGCCTACAGTGCATTTGAAAAGGAGATAACCCAGCAGATGTCTGGGTTTGCATTGTGGTGTAATTACAGGTGAGCTTTAAAGTCATTGGGAATCAGCTGACTGTTCTGGGAAGAACAGCAGTGGTATGTTGCTGCTGTGCCTGTTTCAGCACAAAAGCACACATCTCATGAACAGGCATGTCTTGCAGAGAAACAGCATTGTGTTGGTGTTCACAGTGCTCAGCAGTGCTTTGAGGTTTTAATTTGTGCACTCATGAGATCATTTTACCTCTGCTTTTTCTACCAAAGCTGTGAATTTCACAATTTGTTTTTCTAAATGGACAACCAGAGTGTGTGATTTTCCTAGCACAGACTGCACACTTAATAACATGATATGAATCTCTCAATAGGGATTAAAATTTGGGGTAACAGCACAGCCTGCATTCCTCTTATCAGTGCCTGATAATGGAAATTCTTTCAGTAAGACAGTGCCAAATACATTGTGGGCAGATAGGAAATCTCCTGGTTCAGAAAGGCTGACCCAGCACCCAAGTGAATGGAAAATACGTCATCCTTCAACTCCCTGAAGAAGCAGTGTCCTTATCTAGTGCTTGCTTTATATTCAGGGACATGAACCCACTTTCTAGACATAGAGCTTCAGTGTGCAAGCCATGATGGTGCCTCACCTATTCTTACTCTCTTCCTCATGCTTCTGGGTTCATGATGGCTCCTGGACTCTCATTGTACTCAGCACTTACCTCAAAGTAAAGGCAATTTGATTTCATGCAAAAAGTGAATTCTCCTGCACACTGGAGTGAATTCATGAAGACAGAAATTAAATCATGGTCCAGCTACTGGCTTTCCTTGGTTTTTATACAAGAAAATCCTAAATTATCCCAGGTTTTCCAGTGTGAATTCTCTATTAGAGCATATAGAGTATATTAGAGTGTATCAGTATACTAGAGTCTATTAGTATATATTAGAGTATATAGAATAGAGGGCAGCTTCTTCTTCCCTTTTCTACCCCTGATGTATTTCAGACTGATGCATACTACTTTGGGGGGGCAGAGGGGTGCTGGCTTTGTATTGCCGCTGGAGATAAGGGAGGAGAAATCACCTCCCCCATTCAGTCCAGTCTTATATTGAAGTGTGTTTCAGAAATATGTTTAGGTTTGATTGGGAGGGGTGGGAAGAAGTTCTACCGTCTCTATTTACTTCTATTTTACTTTGAAGCCACATCTTTGTTGCCTGGCTTTTCCTGCCTCTCAGACATGGGAACCAGCAGGGAGAATATGATGAAACAGGTATTTAAGGCAATTAAGGGGCAGGCTGGAGCACAGGCTGGGTTATCAATCATTGCACGATCTATCTGGTGAGGTGAAAGAACAGTGTGGGTACTCAGAGCACAGCCACCAGGTATTGAAGAGGGGGTGTCTGGGATTATTATTTTTTTAATTAAACCTGCAATGAAATAGATAAAGTTTGTTAGTTTAGCTGCTCATGTCTGATGGCTTCAGATAATACTTTAAATCAATATTCTGACAGAGCCAAATCACTTTTCCAGAACACTGATCTAATGAAAGTTCAGTTTCAGGACTGAAGCAGAAAGAAGGCTGAGAATCACACTGAAACACAGCATTTAACTTTGGCTTTAAAAACAAAATCCTCGCTGCAGTAATCCCAAACAAAAATGCTCACCACAAAGAAGTCCACAGTGCTTCAGCCCACAAAAAAAAAAATAAATCTGTCAGGGATCAGATTACATCCTAAAATGTCCTTAGCTTGTTATTCCTGTCTCAATAGAAACTGTGAACAGATTTTTATGGTGTCATCTGCAAAATCCCACCCAACTGCACCTGCATCAGTAACCTACCTGAACTCACTATTCCCGTGATTCAACAATAAGACTTTTTTCAGGTTTCGTTTTGTCTTGTTTTACTGTTGACAGAATAATATTCTACTCATTACGAATGGATAAAAATTGAAAGTATTGCCCATCCACAATTTTAATTACTGGTTCCCATCGTGTGGTTTGGAGCTCCACTGCTAGTTTGAGGCCACGGTGCCCTTCTAACCAGTAGTGCTGATGAGCTTGCTAGTCCTGATCGACTCTACTGATGGGCTTAGGTCCATGAAACACTATCAAAATGTAACAGCGGCCCATTGGCCTAAAACTTTGAGAAATAGCAGTCTGAGCAAAGAACGTGGAAACAGAAAGAGCGTGTGATGGAGTGACCAAGATTAGCAAACATTTGGGAAAATACTCTAGGACATTTCTATAGCAACAGTAACTGATTATTTTTTTAATGTGTATAGGATTTTTTGTTATTGTTGACTGTTTGTTTTTAAAAGGCTTAATGGTAGTAATGGTTATTAATAAATCAGTCGCTTCGAGGTTTGTGGCGTTGATGTCTACCAAAACCCCACTAGGTGTCCTCAGTCAGTAATTCGACCTGAGAAGTTGCAGTTTCCCATAGGAGCCATGCAGACCTTGAGGTGTGGGAAACAAAGCCTGAGCACCCTGCTGCGGTTTGGAAGGCTGCGTGCTTCCTCCTCCTCCTCCACATGTCGGTGAAACAGCCCTGAAAGTCGGTCCTGGCCTCGAGAGCATACCTGTGTCAAAAGCAAAGCCCTCGTCACTGTTTCCATGCTTTGAGACATCTTTAAATGCATGACACTCAATGTCCTCTGCATACATTTGGACATACTGTTAAACGCACTGTCTACTCGTAAGTGCATGGATCACTGTGTACATCTTAGAAGCCAGAAGAAGGATTCGCTTTGAAGTATTTCATGTTTGGAACATAAGTAGCTCTGTTCTACCCAAGGAATTGAAATAATCAAGGAACCTCTGAATTTATGAAGATTAATTTGAAAATCCCCACCACGTGTGTCTACAGCCAAAATTTTCACGAATGTGTAAACCTGTGGAATCCATGAAGCTTATCTGGAAACCAGGAGGCTTTCTTCTAAGTCTTTTGGGACATTTTTTTTCTTGCAAGGTGTGTTGGAAAACCCCAAGCACTGCTTTTCTGCTCCTATCTTAGATCTTCCCCTTTACTTTGCTGGAGTTGGGTATCTGTCATCTGTCATGAGTAGCTGAGCTCAGAGTTCACTTTTGTCATGCTGCTCAGTTCAGCCTTTTCATTGTTTTTTGGCTTGTGTTGACAACAGAGGTTCAACATTTCTGAAGAAAGCAAAAGATGTTTGTAAACTTCGGAAACAGATGGAAAATTAGCATATTGTTAAGAACTATGGCTTAGAGTGTACAAAAATCGTATTTGGCATTACAATATCAAACAAAAATAAACATCCCATTGATGGCTTTCTGTGAGCTCCAGCAGGCTTATGCTAGTGTTTTGTAAATTGTATTTAAAAGCAATCAAATTCTGAACTGAATCTATATGAAAGGAACCATTTCTTCTCAGAAGGAGTGGTGATGCAGTGGGAGGTGGTGGAGTGGCCATCCCTAGAGGTGTTCAAGAACGGTGTGGATTTGGCAGTGAGGGTCGTGGGCAGTGGGCATGGTGGGGAAGGGTTGGTGGACTTTAGTGGTCTTTTCCAACCTAAGTGATTCTATGATTTTACAAATAGTGACCTTTTGACAAAGCTGGGAACGGCATATCTGTGCACAAGATTAGAGTTGCTCAGGTTGGAAAAGAGCTTAAAGATCATTGAGTCCAACCACAACCTAAACATGCTACCCTAACTCTGCTAAATCACATCCCTGAGCACCACATCCAAATGGATTTTACACACATCCAGGGATGGTGACTCAACCACCTCCCTGTGGAGCCTATTCCAGAGCTTAGCAACCCTTTCTGTAAAGAAGTGTTTCCTGATATCCAACCTAAACATCCCCTGGCACAACATAGGGCCATTTCCCCTCATCTTGTCACCTGTCACCAGTGAGAAGAGACCAACCCCGCTCTCGCTGTAAGCACCTTTCAGGTATTGGAACAGAGTGATAAGGTCTCCCCTCAGCCTCCTCTTCCCCAGACAAAACAGCCCCAGTTCCTTCAGTCTCTCCTCATAGAACATTTTCTCCAAGCCCTTCACAAGCCTTGTTGCCCTTCTTTGGACCTGCTCCAGCATCTCCATGTCCTTTCTAAGTGAGGTGCCCAAAACTGAACACAGTACTCAAGATGAGGACTCACCAGTGCTGAGTACAGGAGCAGGATGACTTCCCTAGTCCTGCTCACCACACCATTCTTGATACAAGCCAGGATGCCATTGGCCTTCTTGGCCACCTGAGCACACTGCTGGCTCATATTCAGCCAACTGTCCGTCAGTTTTTCTAGTCTGCAGCACACTGATCTCAAGAGCTTTAGAATTTTAGGTATCTTATTTGACCATTTCAGTACACTAATGTCTGAACAAGAGCTCTCCATTTTTGCTGTTTCAATATATTTAAACCATTCTGTATTTCTACAAGAAAATTGTTTTTAATGAACAGACTGCTGCTCAAAATATATATTAGCAGAAAACAATTTATTATGCAAGCTAAAGCCTCATGAGACTTGCAAATTGACAACTTCAGAGAAGAAAGCTCTCCACATAGCCACGGGGCAAATAAAGCACAAGCAGAATAAAATAAATACAGGCCCTGACAAAGAGCTGCAACTTTGGCCCCGGGTTGCTGTTTCCGGTTGGGTTGATCGCCTGGTCTCCAGTGCTGAGAGCTGGAGCTGTTGCTCCCTCTCCTTGTTTCGAGTCCTTCAGGGCACATCTGTTACCCTGTAGCCTCCTTTGGGCAATCTCTTTTCCAAATGTTGGAGTTCTTAATGTCACCCTTAAGCAACCAGTGGCTCTGGCGCCTTCGTGCTTATCTTGCTTTGCAATGTGAAGTTGTTCCTCCCCTGAACAGTGACATCAATTTACTGAAAGAAATCAGGCTTTCAGAGGGGTGTACTAAAGAGAGGAGCTCATACCTTTCAGCAAGGCAGACCCCCTGCCCTAAAAGTCAGGAATCAGAATGACTCACCATAGGTTTTGAGTGGCACGTTTACTGATCCGACACCTCTTCCTGTGCACCTCTCATCTCATTCTGCTCTTAGTCATAAAGTTTTATAAGCACTTTTCTTCCTGGCCTTTTTACCCTAGCTCAGTGCTGTTAAGCAGCCCTTTGTTCCTTTCAGTCATCCACCCACAGCTTTCCCAGTTTTATTAGAGTGAATGAATGTTCCCACTTCTCTAGGCCATTCAGTACTTATTGATTCACCCAACTTCTAATCAGCCTTTTCTTACTCCCAGTGTGAGACAGTGATTTAGCTGAAATTTAAATAGAATCCTGTAGATTAGGATGTCTGCAGAAGTAGATCCCCTTTTGTATGGCACAGAAGATAAGCTTTAGGTTTCTAAATTCTCCAGCAATCATTCCAGCGTTATTAGAACTTTAGGGAGTGTTCCTGTTATCCAAAAAGGCCTTAATTGTGCCCTTGGGTTATTGCGAGATGGGAGGGAAGCCAGCAGCATTATGGAAAGATAAATCATTTATCACATTTCTGGATGTTTTCAAAGTCCCCCACAAGTGTTGCGTTGGAGCAGAAAGCTCAGCAGCACTTGCTGCTGGGAAGCAGGGCTGCTCTACCATGGCTCACAGCCAACTGTGCTGCTTCAGGAGGCATCACCTACTTCTGCACATCACCCACTTTGACGCATCACTTCACTTACCTCCACGCATCATTTACCTCCACAGGGTGTGCTCACTCTTCCTCTGTCCTGGCACCAGCTCTTTGGGAAGACAAGGTGGCATTAATGGCAGCTGTGTTCCCTCAATTGCAGTTTGAGGGGTCTCAGTGCTGAGATTCCTCTGTGGCCTTATGGGCAGTATATTTATGTGCAGCCTCTTCATAGGAATGACTAGCTCTAAGGTCAAGTCTTTGTTTTGTCTCTGTGGAAGAATCCCTACTAACAAGAAGAAGCCTGCATAGAAGGAGCAAGGATTTAATTTCTCCCTGCTCTTTAATTAGTGGCACTGTGGGTTTTTTTAATGGTTACTTCACAAGCTAGTCCTTTAGGTGGCTACTATTTCTGACTTGTCTGACTCTACTTCCTCTCTGCCTCCATGCCCCAGTCCACTCATTTCACAGAATCACAGAATGGTTGGGGTTGAAAAGGACCTCAGTGTTCAGCCAGTTTTAAGCCCTGCTATGGGCAGGACTGCCTGCCACTAAATCAGGCACCAGTTCAAGCTGCCCAGCCCCCCATCCAGCCTGGCTTTGAGTGTGTCCAGAGATGGGGCATCCATAACCTCTCTGGGCAACCTGTGCCAGTGCATCACCACTCTCTGAGAGAAAACTTTCCCGCTGACATCTAATCTAAATTTCCCCTCTTTTAGTTTAAAGCCATCCCCCCTTGTCCCATCACCATCTACGAACAAAATTTGGTTTCCCTCCTGAATGTAATCTCCCTTTAAGTGCTGGATGGCTGCAAAGAGGTCTCCCCTGAGCCTTCTTTTCTCCGGGCTCTCTTCTTTTTGTGTCTTCCCCCTCATTATATATATATATATATATATATATATACGATATATTTATCTTTGCAGACTTCCCTTACCTCATCATCATCTTGACAACTACCACAGCCTTTGCTTAAACTACTGGAAGCCACTGAAGTACTACTGTTGACAATGAACTGTCATCGCTGTCACTCTGCCATGCCAAGGTTGTTGCAAGATGGCCAAGAGAGGTCTCATTGCTGAGTCACTGTTTGGAGAGCTCTGCAAGCATTGGGCGTGTGAGACTATCTCTGCTTGGTTCTTTTTTTGGCAGACCTCCTCTGCAGCAAGTCATGTCCCTTAAAAAAAGCAACAAAGACCAAAGCAACCCTCCAACATACACTTCCCATCTAGATTTGTAACAGGAACAAACTAGATTTACAAACAGCATAACCTGTTGTCTTTCTGCCCGGGTTTTGTAAGCTTCCCTTCAGCTGCTGTGAAGAGCAGACTGGATCCACAGTCAGTCAAAGCAATGTGATTGTTAGACATCCAGCTAAATCTCAATATCCACATAAGGGAACTAGTTTCCCATAAAGTTCGGGATTGCTTGCATACAGGATTGTGCTTCTTTTAAGGATACAGACTTGAACTGAAGCATGATCAGGTTCTGTGAAGATGAACAAGATGCTTGAATAATACAAGATGCTCCAAATGACCATTGGGCTTCTCATACAAAGAAAGAGCAGGGAGTGGGTTGGATGTGTATTAAGTAAGTAGAGGAATAGGTTACTGCCCACGAACTGACTTCTTGTTTTCCTTAGCTTGCCTTCCCTCTGCACACCCCAAAAGTCAAGGAGTCCTGTACCCTGCTGCCTGCCACAGCTGGGTGGAGGAGGAAGGAGGGGAGAGCAGGAGCTTCCACTTTTGTTAGCAGCAAGTTACTGAGCCCTCATGTGAACTCTTACCTTGGAGCAGGACAGAAAGAGCAAGCACAAATAGCTCTGGGGCAGAGCGTGAGTAGAGCAGAGGCAGCAGTCACCCTGCGGTGGTGGCAGAGATGGAGCTAAGATGAAAGCTGGGGCATGACCCTGAGCTGAACAGCAAACCCAGAAACAATCCATGACAAAATCTTGCCTGGGGAAAGCAGGAGGGAAAGAGGGACATGGGAGGGCAGCAGTGTGGGGGCAAAATGGTCAGTTAGAAACATTTCTGAATTGATTTCTTGAGTTTAAGAGGCAGTAGAAAGCAAAATCACAAATACTGATACTTAAAATTTTTAGGTGGAAAGAATTTGAAATAGATTATATTTTCCCCTTGAGGCTTTCTTACCTTGATTTGAAGCAGCATTATTTAAAATAACGTTATTAAAGGAATAATTTCCCAAATAAAAAGTTTCTTGGTGGGAAGTCATGGAGGAACAGGACAGTTAATTTGAAAACACTTTTTTAGGGAAAAAAAAGTCCTGCTTTTATATATACATTTATTACTATATATATTCATATTAAAGTCTGCCAGGAAGAACCTTAAGTAACTTGCATGAAATACATAGATTTAAAAATGGTATCTTTCAACACAGAAATCTAATTAATAGTCACAGCTTACTTTTTCTTATTAAATGAAGCAATCCTCTCTAGGGCTGTTATGCCAGTAGTGAGCTTGAGGTGAGACTTGAAGTACTTGTAGACAAATCACTACCATGGTGCTGAAAGAAATGACTTATTGTTTCTCACAACAAAAGAACGCCTCTGTAAAAAATGTCTGTCCAATGCCAAAAAGTATAACCTGATATAGGCTGATTTGCATGGTAATGCTGATGTATTATTGATATAAACAGAAGTATTTCATCCACTTAAAGCGTAGACCTCTCCCATAATATCTTCTTGTGCAACT